TATTCTTCATTAATTTCTCTACAAGATTCCAGTGATGATGTATGAAAACTTTGTTTTCAAAATCTTCATCTCAGAGAACTGGAGGCCGATAAAGTGCCTGTACGACCAGCTATGACTTGGAATTAAACTAGCACATAAAATGACAGAATAAAACAGGACCATGATTAAATCACAAAAAGGAGGACTAGTAAATCTGAAATGCAATTTAGTTTTTTCAATCCCTTTATGTGAATCTCTGGATTAATAATGCTTCTGTATTACGTTTAGTATCAATGTCTACAGCATATAATTCACAACTGCTGTTGGTCACCTACACAGTGAACAAACCCATTCTCACTGTGCCTTTTCAAAGTGTTTCTTGATCATGTCATTTATGTGTGATAGGTTTAACTCACATAGTGATCTTCATTTTCTCCTAGCACTATGATAATGTTGCCTACCACCCTGGAACTAGGTCTCAATAGGAAATTTTGGTCAAAAGCTCTTCATTACAAAATTCCACTGGGAGAATCCCAGCAGACACTATAACTTTACCACCTCTCACCTACAACTGAACAAGGTTTATGTGCTGGCATCATCAGTGAGAGCTATAAACTCCAGAAGAATCCAGCTATACTTACTGCCCAGGGGAAAAAGAAAAATTATACACCCTTATTGTTTGTTACATGAAATCAGCAAGTATTTATATTTCACATTCTGACTACACACACAGTATATTCACATTTTGTTAAGCAAATGGAATACTGTCTCTATTTACTTTTCCCCAAAGTCTATATCTGATTATTCAAAGGTACACTTAAAATCTGGAAAGAAAAAAAAGTACTCATAAGGAGATTTTACTTTCACTTTGGTGATATGCTTCTGAGGCAGAAAAATTTGAATCCCGGATTCTGGATATTTGACACCAGGGACTATGGATATTTGAAATGATATTTCAAATCTGATTTTTCAATGTTGTAATTAAATATTTGGTGTCTGGTGAATATCTGGAGTCTACTTTCAGCATTGTTTACAGAAAGAAAATCCACAGAATGGTTCTGAAGGAAATATACAAGAGAATTGATAAATGTAAAAATATTGAAAGGCAGTTAATCACATTATTTATATGAATTATTATTTAAGCAAGAACCAAAAGTAGTCCAAGTCTGTCAGACAGAATTTTAAATAATAGAAGAAAGCTACATACGTATGATCTACACACATTTCAATCCTACTTGTTTACAATTCAGCTTTACTTTTCCTTTTCAATCTATTCTAGCACCAAAGTCTTTTAGGTTTCCACAATGTGTGCACAGCAACAGTTGCCAGGATCCTCTTTCTGCTTGCACGAGCCAGAAGATTTTGGCCATCTACTTCAGCTACGTGTTTGACAATGAGAATATTGCTTTAATAGCATCAGTGGACAAAACCTCTTCATTTGGAAAGATGCCAACATCAAACATTTCTTGGATATTTCAGCTAGACTGGCAGACTGCTCTTTATTTGCCAGTGTGGTAGGAGAATAAAATGCAGTTACATGTGTGCTCTGTGCCCTCTGCAGTATAATATAACATTCCTGGGTGACAGTCACAATCTATGCATTAGTAAGTAGTTTGGTCCCAACTACCCTTGGCACAATCTCTTTGATTGCAAACCTAACAGAGGCTGAAAATGGGACACGTCTAGTGTGAATTTGGGAAAAGCTACTACCTTCAAAATTAAGGCATTGATTCAAAATCTTATTACAGCATGTCATACATACTGCAGTTACACTCTGAGCTATCATGCTCTGGTTTTCCCTTGCATCATTGTCTGCTTTTCCATATCCAAAATGTTCACAAATCTTCAACTCTTTCAAAGGGTAGATAACAGCAGGACAAAGGGAAATGATTTTAAGTTGACAGAGGGAAGATTTAGGTTAGATGTCAGGGGGAAGTTCTTATGAGAGTGGTGAGGTGCTGGAACAGGCTGCCCAGAGAGGTTATGGATGCCCCGTCCCTGGAGGTGTTCAAGGCCAGGTTGGATGGGGCCCTGGGCAGCCTGGTCTAGCATTAAATGGGGAAGCTGGTGGCCCCACCTATGGTGAGAGGAGTTGGAGATTCGTGATCCTTAAGGTCCCTTCCAACACAGGCCATTCTGTGATTCTGTGAAATAATCTCATTAGCACAAATGTTCCCAGCAAAGATTTTGCGATAAGGAGTCCTGGACAACTTTCCCTTTGCAATAATTTGATTAGCAGTTTGCAACTTGAAAGGCTTTCATTTTCCAGTAAAACATCCAAGTAGATTCAGTTTGAGCACTGTCCTCTGAATCTGTGGAAAGTGTGTTGCTCACTGCCGTTTTTCTCATTTTTGTATCATTTTGCCTTTTTAGTTCTTGTCAGAATTGTCAGGCATGGTCTGTCTGATACTATATGAAACAGAAAGTAAAAACCTTGAGTCCAACATAGACTGGAAGCTGTTCTTCTGACCAGACAAATAAGGAACAACATTTTTGGCCATGGAATCTTACTTCTCATATATGACTACCTATTTACCCATCTTCTTTCTCTACAATGATTTATGGGTGATATTTGCATCCTTTCATTCAAAACATTCATAAAATTATAAACTCTTATAGATGAAGAAATGACTGCAGAGGTACAGAACACTAATACTGATGATTTCCATCTATTTTAAGGTAATAAGCTACTTTTAAGGTAATAAGCTACTAATGCACTTAATATATGTGATGTTCATAATTACCATGAATTTCACTAAAAGAATTTGTAATATATCATTGATGCAGTCTTTTTTTTTCCTAGAAAACACAATGATTTGTATTACAGTTCATAAAAAACGTTAATGACTGAAATACTTGTCTGTCTCAAGCCTGATAGCACCTAACAGCTATAATTACAAAGGAAAAGCCCATCTACCAATCTCAGTATTGGACTTAATTAGCTTATTTCCACTATTTGGAACTTCCCCATTAGCCCATGATTTATGAAATGTTAATGTGAATGTTTTGGAAAGCTTTCTAACCAGTGTTTTAAGATTACTATTTTTTTTTTTTTTTTTTTAAGGAAATGAATAATTTTTTATAGCATTGCCACGGTAATCATGAAAGAAGAAGAGAAAAATCTTTTAACAGATGGAGTATAATTTATATTAAAAAAAATAAAAAGAATACTTTCAACCACTGATCCTTATACTTGAATTTCTTACTTTTTTTGGTATAGTCTTCTCTTTTCCAGAATTAGTGAGAACAAAAGACAGACTTCAGATGTGTCTTTGGACTATAGCTTGCATGAGAAATAACCTAGTCCATCTCCCTGATCTTCTCCATAGGATGTGTAGGTTATAATGAAAACAAACAGGCTTTTTCCTGCAAGTTGATGGGAAATATTTGGTTGATGACCAAAATCCTGGGTATGGGCCTGAATCAATTCTGAAACAGCCATTATGTAACAGCAAGGAAGTATAAAATGGACAGCTGTCTCCTATGTTCTTATTGACCAAGGAGTATTTCAACTGGTTGTAAGACCATTGGTGTTAAATAGCAGCTCTTGCAAGACTGAGAAACACTAAAAACTCACATTTGAAAGGATGATAATAAAAATCTGTTTAAAATTAGCTATCCAGAACTTCAATTGCTCCTGCAGGTTACTTCCAAAGGTGCTTGTTCACCTTCCCATGATTCCACATCACATCATTAATGCACAGAGGGAAGGTGCCAAACTTCCCCCCTCTTGAGTGCACTAGCAGAGTGCAGCTGCCTTAGGTAGGATGCACAGGGCCTCCTTCAGACTTCTGAGGAATGAACACCTCTTGTAAAATCTCCTAGCAATATTTACTCATGATTCTTTCATGTTGCTGTAAACACTACTACTACGAAATAATGGGATGAAGAGGCGGAAGAGGAAGCAATAAATATTTATCATTAGTGTTGAGCAATAATTTCTAGATTACATTATCATGAGATGAGGCCTGCAAAAATTTAGTGGACAGAAATGCTTCAGGGAACACGAGTTAATAGCATCAGTTATAGATGTGAAGACAAAAGCAACCCATAAGATTGCTGCTGTAAATTACCATGAGTAACAAATCCCCTCAAGTGCATTGCTGTTCATTAATAATAATGCCTATACAGCAGACAATTTCTACTCAAAGGATGAGCCTTTGCAGTTTGGTCAGCAGAATTATGTTTAAAGTGATCTCCTGAAGAAAGTGCACGTCTCTTTCTTGTGCACTGAAAGCTATCTGCCAGCTCCCTCTTCCTCCTGCTCTCACGAGATCACACAAATGCACTCTTCTCCAGTTTCATCACTGGATCAGACTAGGAACAAAAACATTAACTGCATTCTATAAACTGTATAAGCAACTATGACATGTCTTCTATAAATCAGTGTTTTGATTGAAAACTTGACTTGAAAGCTCCTATTCCCAGCTTGACAACTGCTGGTTTCTGCAAAGAGAGTCTGCATTTGGGGTCTCTACAGCTGGGACCACTCCCTGCAGAGCAGCTCAGGCTGAGTGGACACAGCAGGCTTGACGTGTCACACTGCAGGGAGTGTTGCCTCCAAGGAATGGGGCTGATGGTTTCTGTCCTTTACTTGCTGAAGGAGTGCTTTCTGAAACAACCTTTGGGAATCAGTTGCTGAATTTCAAAAGCAAGCCTTCAGAGAGCACAAATGTGAACTTGAAAGAGCTTAATAGCCAAAAATCTCTCTAAATAAACTTCTCTAATAGCAAAAGGCCTCTTCAGATTCAGTTTCCAAAAACAACTGCATTAATGACCAGGTGCTTAGCTGATCAGTACAGTTTTTCCAGCATCTGGCTGTTATAGATCAATAGTTTCTGTATGTGTGTGAATTTTCTTCTAGGAAAATACTTGGAAATATGTCAGACCACTAAGGGTTCAAAATACAGCATTTAAAATAATTGTACATATTTAAATTGTTCTACAATAAATGCAATTTATTCGTTAAGGCTGAAACTGCATGCATAATTGTAATGAGAATAAAATTGTTTGTAACCTACCTTGGAACTGCGTAAATTTGATGGTTCCCATCCTCTCTCCATTCCTGAAAACAACTTGACCCTAAATAAAATAAATAAATGACTTAAATGTTTTATAAATCTTAAAAAATAAATGTAGTTTAATTAGAACTGCAATTGTTTTCCATTCACTATTAAAATTACCCAATAAAGTGTTAAATATTGAAAACAGCAGATTCAACCCAGACTGAAGAAATTTATTAACATCTTAAAGCTTTCATCCACAAATTTCAAATGGCTTTACAAAGTTGACCATTGTTATCACTCACTGTCAGAAATGGAGCCAGTAACTGATGACTGTATTTGTCTAGGATACCTAGGAGTTATCAAGGATCATCTCAAAAAAGGATCTACATTTCATTCCTCATATGGATCTCCAAAAGGATCTATAATTTATTTATATCACTGATTGTGGATACTAAAAGCATTTTATACTATACCAAGTTTCATGTCTAAGTACTCTTGATAAATGTAATGTGTTTAAGACATAATGTACTACCCTTCATGATGCTACATGTTGATATAATTCAAAATAATAGTCAATGGTCACACAATGCGGAAGCCTCCCCACATATGCCTAGCAAATTACTCCCATCCTTCACCCCATCTTTCTGACAAAATATCTTTTAAATTTTTGTCCCCACTTTGGCTATTTTGTGATGGAGTATGAAAGAGCAAGTTTTCAATCATTTCAGAAATATTTTTAATATCTTAAACTTGCAGTGGAGTGCTGAGTGTGGTCATTGTAGACTGGAGTTTTATTCAACTCCTAGTTTGGATAATTATTATAATCTCCATTAATTTATTTTTTAGCAGACATCAGGATAAAAGAAACCAAATGGTAAGCATCAGAGGCTACTATCTGTGCAAGTCCCTTTTTAGATTACTTCTGGTCACTAGGGATTCAAAACGCAATCATCTTCAGCTTAAAGAAGAATGCAGTTAAAAAAAAGCAGTTTTTACCCTTGTTATAAAATCTGATCAAAATACTGATACAAAGTGATTGTATCATCCTACTGATATGAACTCATTTTGAATTTTAATAGTGGAAAGATTGTTCAGTCCCCTGCAAGGAACTATACCTACATGTGTGGTACTCTCTACAGAATGTGCATCCCATGTTCCCTGCTAATCACAGAACACTGTTCCCTTTCAGTAAATTCAGGAAGACATCCTATAGTAAGTATAATCTACCTTGTGCTAAGAATAAAAAAGCCAAAAATTTCAGTCTATGACAGAAAGAGAGAAAGACAACTGAACATCGGTGATATAGATCCTCTCAACAGCCACAGAAGGGTGCAAGAACTGCTCCTACTGAAGTTTGGCCAAAAATAAGGTTTATCCAGAGACTATTAAAACAGCTCAGGGAGGCAACGTAAAATATTAGCAAGCAGTTTGTGTGTGCATTTCAGCAGACTTATCCAGATCTCCCTTAGTTTGGAGTAGTATTTAATGTCCCTGGAGATGTTTGAACATAACCAAAATACTTGATTTAAATACGCAACAGTAGAAAATATTAAAGAAAAGTCTTGTAAAACGTGCTGTGCAAGTATCACTTGTTGCAGGTATCTACTGTCAACCCAGTCTCACACTCAGTAAGTTCTGGTTCTGAAGCCTGAGACGGAGGATTCTATAGTTAATTTTTTACTGTGGGGATAAGTTATTTTTTGATAAATTTTCCTGCCTTTTACTTTATCTCTGCTTATGCTTTCGTTACAAGATTATGATACTGTAAACTGTACACTATTGGACTGCTCTGTCTAGATAGCAACCAGCAGGAATTAATGCTGTCATCCATGATGACTGTTATCTAAGACTACCATGTATTATTGACAATATAATATACCAGCTCATGGATGTTTCCGTATTCTTAGTGCAACTGGTTTGCTGTGTCATCCTTGCTTCTTGTAATACCACCCACATTGCCATTATCCAACAGGAGAGCCATATTTCATCTGTATCTACTGACTAGAGAAAAATATGTAGATCCTCATTGACTCATTTTGAAACTATCAAGGTAGATAAGGTCTGAATGTTCTGAATAAATTCAAAAATTTATAGAATACAAAGAAGAAATTATATTTTTATAAAAATTGAATGATTGAAAAATAAATATATGGATGATAGCGATTGCAGAGACATGGAACAATTCATGTAGAAGTTGCCTTTATCTGCAATAACATTCAATCACCTTCACTAAAGTTTACTGAATGTTAAAAAGTTAAAAAGTCGAATGTGTTATTAAAAGGCATAAAACTTTCTAAATAAAAATTTATGCTCTGACATTGTCCTGTTTATTGTTCATAAACTCAAGACTTATGTTAAACATCCAGATACAAGAAGAAAAAAAAAACTGAAATTGGCTATTTATTCCACCTGTTATTTAACAAGTAAACCTGTCCTCAGAGACATAATCAACAATAAACACATCAGCAAGAATCTTCTATGAAACCCCTAGTGGAACCCATGACAATGACAGCACCTATTTATTACCCATGCATCAAAAGTGCAACCACAACCACAGCTACTGCTTGGTTCTTGGCTCCTGAGCAAGACACTGCTTCATAACAATGTGACAAGAAACGACAGCATTTCAAGTAGCTTAAACCCCTCAAGACTTCAAAATTGCAGTGAGCTTAGAGGGAAAACACTCCTAGGCTTTTAGTGGAGCTTTAGGTAGCACCAAAAGACACTGAAATACTGTCTCTGTTGTACTACTCAATTCTGCAATGTGGCAGAGAGGAGTACTCCTTAAGAATACTGAGGAATTATACAAATACCAGTACATTTATTTCACTTTTACAAATGTTAACTTAAAACAGCAATAAAAAATAAACCAAAAGAAGCATCTATTGAATATATATATATATTTTAATAATGGCTAAAACTAAAGAGTTAAACTGAGGGCAAAAAAAGGTAAATCAATAGAATAATAAAACATTTTATTTTATATTTCTTAATCTGATACAATGCCATAAAGAAACAAAACAACCAGTCTTTCAGAAATCTGTTTTGTAGAAATGATGGGCTGATTTATGGCATGAAAAGTGAGCTATAAGCTGATGTTCTTCTCTGGACCACATCAGGTCACTACTTTGCCATCAAGATAACATGCCGTAAGAGTTAACTAGACAATTAACTTCTTCATACTTGAGGCCCCTTTAAAACACCAGGTGTCTGAACGGCAGCTATTCCTAAGATACAGTTAAAACTATAGCTTTACTAAAGCAAATCTCTGTACTCCCTCTTACTTCATTTTTATCTCATCACATACTTTCTACATGTGTCAGCACAGTTTGTGGTGTGACCCACCATAAGAACAAGAACTTGTGAAATCTGAGTGAGCGTGAGCACCCAGCCAAACTTTACCTTCCATCACATTTTGGTGACATTGCAATAGGTGATGATTAGAAAAGATATCAGTGGTTGTACGGATGAGATGCTCGAGATGCTCTTTCTAAAAGGAAAGTAGACTGACTTCTTTGGAGCATGATTCTCAGATTCAAGCAGCATTTCCCACTCATGTAATTATTTTACTTCAAGAGATGCAAAATACAGTCTGTCCTTTACCATCATTTCAATCAACAAGAAAGTTAATTATGTTCACTTAGATCAAACCACATATTTTACTCCAATCTTTTTTTTTTTAAATATTTTTTTGAAGTAATTTCCTTCACCAATTGTAAATGTGATGCTTGAGTAAACACTAGCTGTACAACAACTCTGCCCAGCTCTGAGCTATGGGCAAGCATGTCTGCAACAGCAATTATCCCTGAAAGACAGGCAGGGAGGCGGGGAATAGGAAATGTAAGACTTGAATTCTGATAAAAAAGTAATGAGAACAGAGGGTGGAATAGAAACTGAAGTAGTTCAGTCTGGCACAGAGTATTTGAAATACATTTCATTATTGCTAAAAGTTGTGCAAGTTTGTGGTTTTTTCTTCAGTCCTTTGTTTTATTTCACTTTTTTTTTTTTGTGACATCACTGAATCCAGCTACTTTTCTTCTAATATGTGACCTTTTTTTCCAAAAAGTCAGTATTTTAAAATGCATTTCAAATGATGAAAAACAGAACTAGACCAAATATTTCAGTGGCATTAGTCTCACGATTGCCACATACAAGAACACCTTCCTTGTTTCTTCTGCACACTGCCTTCTTCTGTGTGCTTCATTTTTAAAAGCCTAGCATTGGTTTCTTTCCTACTTTTGCACACTTCGTTATACAACATAACCACATTTCATCTCATTACTAAAATGACATCCCTAAATGTACAATCTTTTTTTTTTTTTTTTTTTCCTGGAGTTGATGCCTTTTTAAGCCATCAGTCCTTTATTTGTGGTCAAAATAAGAAGTGCACAACAATAATCCTCTCATAATCATAAAATATTATTCAACATTAGATTTATTTTAAACACACTGGACTTCGCCTGTCATTGTAGCATTGGAATGCATTTGTCTACTCTTGAAAGGAGCTGTTAAATGTGTTTTACTTTTTCTTGGTTGATATAAAGTAGTTATCTTTGCTATATTACGAACATATTAAGTTCCTTTCTAGCTAGGGAGCACTAGTATTTATTCAAATTTTCTTTACATTATTACTGACAATTTTATTGTTCTGCTGTGGATGTAGGCACATGCTGGTATTGAAAATCTTCCATTCCTCATACATTGAGATCCACAGCCAACACGTCTCATTCATGTCTTTAGCTTTCCTCGTTACTCCACAAAAGAAGAGTTCAGAACATTTGTAACTGCTCTCTCAGTCAGGGACAGGTCTATACTACAATCATCCCTTCATTTATTCAGATTTATGTCTGCAAAGTGCCTGAAGTATGGCAAGCAGAGAAGTAAATAAACAGCATTTATTTCATGATTTTCCATTTCATGCCTACAAAAAAAAAAAAAAAAAAAAAAAAAAAAAAAAAAAAAAAAAAAGAACTAACAAAAACACAACAATTACATTAGCTCATGCTTTTTTCAGTGTGCCAAAACCTTTTCTGGGTTCTGCTTCACTTTTTCTCCATTGGAGAGTAATCTGGACCA